ACAGTCCCACCAGCAGTGTATGAGAGTCCCAATCTCTCCACAACCTCGCCAGCATTTGTTATTTTCTGTCTTGTTGAACTTTGATACTGGTGCTGGAGCAAGATGGTATCTCGTTGTTTTGATTTGCATCTACACAAGGATCTTTTTAATCGAAGCCCTGGTCTCGTAAATGTTTTGGACATATCCTCCAGGTAAATGCTGAGTGCATACTCTTCCACATGCTGCCCTGGGGATGCTAGGGGAGCAACATGAAGTACAGAACATGGTCTAGGCCCTCAGAAAGCTTGCAGGCAGTAACTGGGCAGGCAGGAAGATGTCCTGAAAGGCAGGAGCTGTGGGAACACAGGGGAGGGATGCCTATGCTTCGGACTCAGGGAATGGTTTGTGCAAAGGCTGTGAGGTGAGAGCAAGAACCTGACTGAGAGAGGTGGTCAGTGGGCAAAGAATGAGGCTGGTGAGACAGATAACTCGTGTTTGGAAGTCACCTTGAGCGCAGTGGGGAGCCGTCCAGGGAGGAGGGGAGTCCCTTGGCCCCGTTTGTTTCTTAGGTCCCTCTGGCTGCAGTATAGAAAATGGCCTGGAGTTTGGGCAAGACTGGAAGCAAGGAGACCCCTTAGGTGAGAGCTGATGCTGAACTAAGTGAAGGTAAAAAGCAGCAGGAAAAGTGGAAAATGGACAAAGTAACACATTCTCAGAGAAGCAGAATCGGAGAAGGATTTGGGGATTGCTTGTGGACTCTCCCCAAAGGTGAGTGCTAATCACAAGAGCAGGCCTAGGGACATGTCTGTGATCAAGGCGACCAGACTCCAAGGACCTAAGCTGGTGCAGGAGTAGGGGATGTTCCTTGGTCATAGGTACCTGGGTGGGCGTGGGCAGCCAGGGTGTAGAGATGAGGCAAGGACCCAGATGACATTTGTGTTCTGATGCTCATCCATTCATTCCTTCACCAGGCACTGGCTAGACATAGGTGTGAATGCCCCATGACGTCAAAGCCCTTGTGGAGCTTTCATTCTAGCCCAGGAGACAGTTACAAAGTCATTAACTCACTGCCGTCGAGTCATTTCCAACTCATGGTGATGCCTCCTTGTGTTTCCAAAGCAGTATCTCTACGGAAGTAGGTTGCTCAATCTTCCTTCTGAGGAGTGGCTGGTAGGTTTGACCCGCCAGCCTTCTGGTTAGCAGTCAAATGCCTTAGGCACTATGCCACCACACAGTTAAGCAATCAATAATAAAGTTGATGCATGTTTTGAAGTCACATGTCATAGTAGCATTGAGGTGATCATGGAAGGTTTCCTGGAAGAAGTGATGTTTAAGTGGAGATTAGAATAGAGGTTTAAGCAGATGAGAGAGCAGGGCAAAGACCTATTTATTCAAGATTTAAGCATGTTTGTGGGGGCCCACTCCATGCCAGGCCCTGCACTAGGTCCAGAGGAGAGAGAGGATGAGAAAAGTATGACCAGCTGCAAACAGAGTGATAAGAATGGTAGCTGGAGGAGAGGAACCAAGCCACGGGGAGTCTTGTGATTCCCACTGAGGAATGTGAACTTCACATGCAAATTTGAGGAGGTCATTCAAGGAGTCCAAGTAAAGGACTGACTTAATCAGATTTGCATTGTAAAAAACCACTCTCCCTGTGGCTGGATGTTAGGCAGGATGTCCAGTTAGGAGACCAATGGCAGTAGTTGGGGAGAGAGGTCGTGGTCTGGGACACCTTCATGACAACTTCTGGTGAAAAGCACTTCTGATGTCATCCAGAGGTCTCCATGCATCCATCCAGAGAAGCCACTGGGACTTGGCTGAGGGTCAGAGTTGGAGGAGAAGCTCAGAATGCCAGCGAAACTCTCAGGGGGCCTCCCAACCCCTTCAATGGCCCCTAGAGAGGGAAGCTCGGCCTCTCCTTGAAGATTTCCCCTGCAGCCCCACTTGTCTCAGAAAGTAGCTGTAGCTCAGGTTCTCACCGGGAGCCAGTTTATGGAAGACTGACCAGGAGCTCCATGAGCAAACAGTGCCTTACATCTGCCCTTGCTAGTGGGGCTGGGGTGTGTTCTTTGTCCAGTCCACAGCTATCATTTGGATTAATGTGGAGAAGCCAGTCCTTCCATCAAGCGTAGGCCCTGGTTTAATACATTTACCTTTGGACAAAGTAGGACCCATGTGTGGAGGAGTTGAATGACTGGGGAAGTGAGTAGCTCCTCAGCCCTCTTTTTCCTTTTTAAGCTAGAAATCAGATCCCCTTGTGAGGTGCCCTTGACTTCTGTTGGGCTGATAAGCAGTCTTTCCCCTCCCACCCCTACCTTTTCCCAGGACTCTACCCCAGAGACAATCTCAGAACTAACTATTTTGGCCATCTCTTAGATGTACATGTGGCAAACACATGTGTCACTCCATCAGACCCCATCAGCTCTAGGGCTCAGAACAGAGAAGCTGTGGTGTCTGGCTCTGCACACAACAGTAGTGGCTGCTCTTGAGGTCAACTATTGGCCCCACAACCAGCAGAGATTCATTATGGAGTTGCTTGTCTTTCTTGAAAGAGCTTGGGTGGCGCTGTGGTTAAATCATGGTGCTACTAACCAAAAGTTCAAACCCACCAGCTGATCTGTGGGAAAATGGCGAGGCAGTCTGTTTCTGTAGAGATTTTCTACCTTGGAAACCTAATGTGACACTTCTACTTGGTTTCTGACTTTCATTCTGCTTTTGTTTTTAGGGAAACATCATCATGGTTAAGCAGAGAAACAAGGCCTAAGCCAAGCTTGGGAAGGGCACACAGTTCTCTGATTTTCCTGTAGCATGAGATTTCTTGCCCCCCCCCATTTTAAATTTTTATTATTTTAATTTTTATTGTGATTTGGGCGAAAGTTTACAGAGCAAATTCCTCCCCACAGTTACCGCTTCCCTGTGTCCTTCCCTTCCATGCACTCCTGCCCCCGAGCTGTCTCTTCCTGTGCAAATACTGCCCTTCTGTTCTCCCACAATTGATTGCTCCAAGGAGCGCATCTACCTGATGTAAATGTTCACCCCATAGTAGCATGAGATTTCTGGGCACTAATTCGGGTCTATTCCCCAGAAATAATCCAACAGTATGTGTCACAGTGAGAGTATTTTTGAGGACCAGCTATGCCTGCACCCAAAGCAACTAACAATAGAAACCAGGAGAGAGAATGCTGGTCTCCTTCCTTGCACTGTGAAGGTGAGCTGGGGAAACTCAATTGCCAACTACCCAGCCCAGGTGATGCGGGTGCTCTCAGGGGGAGGCCCCCTGGGTCTTTGAATTTGGCTGTTGGCCTTGCATGATGTGATGGACAGGAAGAATGAGTAACTAGCCTTTTCAGAAAAGGAAGCTGCGATAGTTGGAGTTGTGTGCCAACTTGGTTGGACCACAATTCTGAGTGGTTTAAGCAGTTGTGATGTGGGTTATTGCCATGATGAGATCGAATGTATATGTTTTGAGCAGCCAACCATCGAAAAGGAGTTTACCTAGGGGTGTGGCCTGCTTCCAATATATTTATTGTCATCCTGGGAAATCCACTCTTCTGTGGATCTGGATCCTGTTGTGCTGCCTACAACTGTCCATGAGTGAACAGTCTACCATTCGGCCTGGAGATCTTGGATTCATCATTCATTGGAGTCAACAGCCAGTGTACTGCTTGCCAACCTTGAGCTTGTCAGCTCCTGCAGCTGCATGAATTGGGAAAAGCCTCCAGCTTGATGTTTGATCCAAGAACTTGGGACTTAGCTTCTATAAGTGTGTGAGCCATTTTCCTAATTTATTTATTTTCTCTCTCTAAGCTTTACTGGTTTTGCTTCTCTAGAGAACCCAGTCTAACACAGAAGCTTTTAAACACTCTCTCACTTTCCTAGCTTCTAACTTTCTTCATTCCCTTTTAAGAAGAAGCTGAATGTCATATTGAAAATAGCCTATAAACATACTTAAAGGCAGTGTATCTGTATGATCTATAAGAATTCCCAGGTATTTAGTAAAGCTGACAAGGGACAAGGTTGTAGTCACTTCTTGGCCACAACCAGCTACCCAGAGGGAGCAAGTAGTTGGACCTGTGGGCTCAGGACCAACATCGCAGGGGACATCAAGGTCTACTGACACAATATACTACACAAAAACATTGTTCCACCTCCTACTTTGGTGAGTAGTGACTGAGATCTTAAAAGCTTGCAAGTGGCCATCTAGATGCAACAATGGGTCTCTCCTCTTCCAGAGCAAAGAAGAATGAAGAAAACCAAAGATGCATGGAAACAATTAGTCCAAGCAACTGGTACACCATACAATCTTCAGTTTATACAGCTATGAGACCAGAGAACAAGTTGGTGCCTGGCTACCACTGTCAACCACTTGGACGGGGATCTATGTAGGAGATCCTGGATAGAGGGGAGAACAATGTGGAACAAAACTAAAATAAATAAATAAATAAATAAAATAAAAAGGGACCAGGTTTGCTCTTCTGATGGAGCCTGGTGGAACCCCTGAGACTATGGCCCCTAGCTGCCCTTCGGGTCTGGAACTGAATCCACTCCTGTGGCTTCCAGCCAAACAAAAGGCATTTGAGCTGAACATTTACATCAGGTAGATACACTGCTTGGAGAGATCAATCATGGGAGAACAGAAGAGCTGTGTATGCACAGGGAGATGGCTCGGGGGTGGGGGGCAGAAGTGCATGGGAGGGAAGGACACAGGGAAGAGGTGACTATGGGGTGGAAGTGGGAGGGGAGTTGTTGCATTGTGGGAAATTGCAGTCAATGTCATGAGACAAAGTGTATATGAGCTGCTGTATGGAAAGTGAATTTGCTCTGTAAACTTTCACCCAAATCACAATAAAATTTTTTTTAAATAAACATATTTGAAGGCACATGGTAAACAAAAGATTTTTTAAAATTTTCTTTCATTAAAAAACAAAAATGGGGCATTGGAAACTGAGAGCTTAGATCCTTGGGTTTGGGCAACATCAAGCAAAGTAACCCAAGAGAAAGATGGCACAGCTAAGGCAGATGATGAGATTGATGTCCAAGAGGGTTTTTATGAGGGGGTTTTCTTCCAGGGAGGCGATGACAGGTTCCACTTTGCTCATGGGCTCTTCCTTGCCCTTGCTCTCCATTCCACAAAGCCACAAGATGGCTTTCACCACTTTGGACCGCTTTGGGGTCACATCACCTGAAAAGAACCAACCAAAGAAAGTCATAGAGATGGGTTGTGCCTCCCAGAGAGGAGAAGGGGGCTAACAGGGCATGTGCTGGGCACTGTGGTAAGTACTTTATATACCTTTTTTGCCTGATTCTGAAAGACTGGTATTTTCAGGGTGCTCACCATTTTCAAAGGGAGAAATTGAGAGGCTCAGAGGGTCAACTAACTTGAGCCATTTACTACACAACTGGTAAGTAGTGGCAGAGGTGGGTTTAAGACCTTGCTCTATCTGATCTTCTCTTCTGTATCACATTGCCTTCCAGGAAGCTGAAGGGAAATGAGTACTCTCGTGGGAAACACCTCCCCTATTCAGAGCTGGGGCTGCAAACTCGAATGCCTACAGAGGCTGCAATTGGTGTCAAGGAATTTGTGTATTGAACATATTGGAATAACTTTC